CAAACACTCGGACTTTCACATGCTGCCATGTTAGAGGAGACAAATAGACTTTTGTTTGCTGTGTCTTGCTTAAAATGGAGGTGAAGAGCTTCCTACACAGGAAAGCAAGATATGGTAATGCTTTCCAGATTCAGTGAGGCCTACTTTTCCGAAACACAGGTTTTGCTTATGCTCTGTGGGCTTCTGACTGTTGCTGGAGGTTTTATCCTTCTGTGGCTCATGAGTGCACTGACACTGATGGACACGATGAGAACTCCTGGCGTTGCACACTAATCGGGCAACATGAAGAACGAAACTCTTGACTGTTTTGCTCCAGATATGGTGTTGAGGATCTCAAAAGTCAGTAGTACTTACTTCCACAAGATCAGCATTCACAACCATCATCATTCAGATCCTGTATTTATCCAGAGGTTGCAATGGAATTTTCAGACTAAGCATGAAACCTAGGGTTCAGGAGAGCAGGGCTTCACTGGCTATATCTTCTTTTTATTTGCTGAGGAACATTCACAAGGTCCTTATTATATTTCTTGTTACTTGATAGAGTCTGATGTGAGGTAGTACTTGTGACAGTCCCTCCAGGACTATTTCTGCTTATGTAAAGGAGTAGGTCAGAATAGTACTGCCCTGAAAAGGACTGTGAGCTTTTTATTGTAAGGTCGTATTTATAACATTAGGATTTCCAAAGAAAGGTGGTATTTCTCTCAGGAATGCTTGTATTTTCAGAAGGTGGTACACCAATTCATGAGCCTGGCACTGATTTGAGGATAGGATTAATAGATTTGCATTGTATGTATTGGGTTTTCGGGTCTCTTCTCATTGCCCTGTCTACTGAGCAAACAGATGACAGCTGCACATATAAATGGGTGTAAGGTAACAGCAAACAGTGATTCAGGTTTCTAGATTATGTTGGAAAGGATACTGATTCCATGGGAGCAAAGAATCCTTGTTTGGCTGACTGTGTGCAGTGTTAGAACTTTGCCTTAGTCTTTAATGGTAAGACCAGTTGTTCCTCGGATACCCAGCCCACTGAGCTGGAAGACAGGGATGGTGAGCAGAATGAAACTCTCATAATCCAAGGAGAAATGCAGTTAGCGAGCTGCTACACCACTTAGACACACATACGTTTGTGGACCAGATGAAATCCACCCGAGTGTACTGAGTGGGTGTACTGGCTGAAGTGCTCACCGAGCCACTTCTCATCATGTATCAGCAGTCCTGGCTGATGTCCCCTGAGAGGGGAGATCCCAATTGACTGGAGATTGGCCAGTGTGATACCCATCTAGAGGAAGAGCTGGAAGGAGAATCCAAGAAACTATAGGTCTGTCAGTCTGACCTCAGTGCAGGGGAAGGTTATGGACGAAACCAAATCATCTTGAGTACCATCACGTGGCACGTGCAGGACAGTTGGGGCATCAGGCCCAACCAGGATGGGTTTAGGACAGGCAGGTCTTGCTCGACCAACCTGATTGTTTTCTATGACAGGGTGACCCGCCTAGTGGATGAGGGAAGGGCTATGGATGTTGTTTGCCTGGACTTCAGTAAATTTAGCCTTTTACACCGTTTCCTACAGCATTTTCCTGGAGAGACTGTCCTGACCTGGACAGGTGCGCTGTTCATTGGATAAAGAACTGTTTGGATTGCCTGTCCCAGAGAGTGGTGGGGAATGGAGTTACATCCAGTTGGTGGTCAGTCACTAGTGGGATTCCCCAGGGCTCAGTATTGGGTCCAGCCCTGTTTATCTTCATCAACAATCAAGTGTACCCTCAGTCAGTTTGCAGATAACACCGAGTAGGGCAAGGAATGTTGATCTGCTGGAAGGTAAGAAGGCAAGAAGGCTCTACAGAGGGAGCTGGACAGGCTGGATCAGTGGGCTGAGGCCAATTGTATGAGGTTGAACGAGCCCAAGTGCCAGGTCCTGCACTTGGGTCACAACAACCCCATGCAGTGCTACAGGCTGTGGGTGGCTGGAAAACTGCCTGGCATAAAAGGAAGTGGGGGTGCTGGTTGACAGCAGCTGAATATGAGCCAGCAGTGTGCCCAAGTGGCCAAGAATGCCAACAGCTTCCAGGCTTGTGTCAGCAATAGCATGGCCAGCAGGACCAGGGAAGCGATTCTCTCCCTGTACACGGCATTGGTGAGGCTACACCTCAAATATTGTATTCAGTTTTGGGCCCCTCAATACAATAAAAACTTTGAGGTGCTGGAGGGTCTCCAGAGAAGGTCAATGGAGCTGGTGAAGGGTCTAGAGCATAAGTCTTACAAGGAGTGGCTGAGGGAGCTGGGGGTGTTTAGCCTGGAGAAAAGGAGGCTCAGGAGAGAATTTATCACTCTCTACAATAGCCTGAAAGGAGGTTATGGCAAGATGGGGGTCAGCCTCTCCTCCCAGGTAACAAGCAGTAGGACAAGAAATGGCCTCAAGTTGCACCAAGGGAGGTTTAGATTGGATATTAGGAAAAATTTCTCCACTGAAAGGGCTGTCAATCCCTGGAACAGGCTGCCCAGGGAAGTGATGGAGTTACCATCCCTGGATGTATTTAAAAAACATGTGTATATGACACTTGGGGACATGGTTTAGTCGTGGAATTGGCAGTGCTGGGTTAAAGATTGAACTCAATGATTTTAAAGTCTTTTCCAATTTAAATAATTCTATGATTTTTTTTTTCTACATGGAATTTTTCTTCAGGTAGCACAGCTTCCAGGTCCTGGTAGGCTTGTTTTTAACTGTGTACAGGAAAGGTACAAAGAGAAAAATAGTGGAAACCCTATTATCTTATTCTAGAGAATTTTCTTTGCAATGTAGAGATACTTTGTTCCCAGAAATTCTTTTCCGTAGCCTAATAGATCATTCTGATACAGAGAAATAAGATGTATGTGGAAACTTTCTCTTTACTTCGGGCCTTTTCCCTTTGCAGATTAGACATCATTCTCATCTCCAGAACTGCACTTAATCCATTCATCCAGTAGCAGATGAATTATTTGTTTTACATATGATTTTCTGTTGCTTTTGTAATTTTTTTTTGCAATCCACTATCCACACAAATGTTTTCTAGCCTGGACTCTTTGTGTAACATCTAATGTAAAGTGCAACATACACATCAACAAAATATTGTGACATTTTTACTGTGTAACTTTGGAGAGAATGCCTACTTTTAAGAGCTTGTTGGGACATACAGTAATTTCTGTGAACTATATCTTTTCTTAAAGAAAATGAAATAAGTAATGTGCACTGGTTTTAAGTTAGTCTTAATATTATTTATGGATGTTTAGAAATACATAATTTCAGCAGTAAAATGCGGTGCCTAGCCTGTCAATCAGTCCTTTTGTATCATTTTACTGGACAAAGTATTTGGCAGAGGTAGGAGAACAGTTTAGGTACATGGATGTCTTCCTGAGATTTAAAAGTGAAACACTGTAAGGTGGCTACCTTTTTGACAATGGACTTTAGAACTGTTTTGAATTCCAGCAAAAGACCTAAGGAAATTACTAAAATGAGGTCAAAGTGCATTTGGCAGGTCATGGAAGAAATCCTTTTGTATGTCAGTTCTTCCAGTTTGGGCGGACTGTCACAGGACCATGTCATAATATGTCATCTGTTATTCAAGTAAGATAAATTCTCACCAGCTTTTTTTAGCCCGTACTCTCTTATAGATCTCAAAGGGAATTTTGCCCAAGAAAGAAGCAAGTAGTGCTTCAGGTTTTAATGCTGAATTTTTATGTTCCTGGTCTTGACCGTGTATGTGACCAGATTTCTGGCTGAAAGGCAGGACAAAACAAAGATCTTGCTATATGAAAAGCAGATGAAGGAATTTCTAGTTTAAAAATCCAAATTAAGGTATCAACTGGAGATTTGCAGCCCGTTTAGACTATTTCTAATTTGTACAAGCCCATGTGGACCTATTTCTTTCTCATGTAATGGCACACCCAGAACTTTCATTGGCTTCAGTGCAATTATTGTTACAGCTCCAGGAACTTTCCCAATAAGCCTACATCAAAACCCATTTATCTAAGTGGGAATGCTTCCAGTAACACCTGTATGCCCCAGTCTGGGCTGCATATGCAGGTACCTCTGAGCTGAGTACTAATGAAAACAGTCTGTGTTCTTGTTTAAAAAGGATATAATATAAAACAGATGTTCTGATCAATAGTACTTTTTTGATGTAAAAAGTAGTAACAACATGACAAACTACCAATAAGAATTATAAAAATTACATGATGTGTACTGCAATTTGCAATATATAATGGCTCAGAAAGATTTGTTTCTTCTGGAATTTGAGAATGTCACTGGTTTTGGGATATCTCAGTTCTGCTGGGAACTGCATTTGTAAATATTGCAATATTTACCTTACATATGCATTTTATGTTATATATTTGTTATATTTTCAGAGCAGTAACATAAACTCTGGTATTAGCATTTTGAATTTTGGTAGGTTTGTTTACCTGAAAAAATTCTGATGGAACTTATAAACTCTTGTGAATACTTATAACTACTTACTATTGAAGTATGTGACTAGTCCTGTAGGACTAAAAATTCAGGGGAATAGCTAACCAGCTGAAAGCTAAGAATATGTGAGTGCATGTTTTCATAATCAGTGTTTTAAATTTTTAAAGAAACTGCACAGGAATCTTATCATCTACTTCAAAAAAAACCAGGACCTCCTTTTGGAATAAGAAACAAGTGCATTACTAACCTAAAATAGAGAGGGAGAAGTTAGATTGTTGAAACTGCAAAATGGACTGAAATGAGCAAATTGTATTTACCCAGTTTGGAATCTGGCAAGTGCACTTAAAATACTCTTATTTTTCTTTCTTTCTTATTCACAGAGTTGCAGGATTTCAGCTAGGTCTAAAGTCAAAATAAATATGATGCCTCACTCGAGAAGAACTTACCTCCTTTATTTAAAATTCATATAAAGCATTCATTGGGGTTGAGTGGTATTTTATTTGGTTAAATTAGGGTTTGAGGTTTGTAAAGTTTAAACCTGGTCCCCTTTTGAGAATGATTTAAGACAGGAATGCTATAATCATCCAGTTATATGAGGCTGGAGCAGGTGCTGGGTATGGAAAGATATTTTTTTCTCCTTCCATCTCTTCTCTGAAGAACTATTTAATTCTTCTTGCAGGAATCTGTTAAAAGCTTTTCCTAAGGTTTCCCTGTAGGCAGACAATTCACTGCAGAACCCCACAGGCAGTGCCTTTGGATGTACTGGGAGTACCTTGTGCACAGGCTCGTCCTTCTTTTCCAGGTGGAATGAGAAAAACAGGAAAGTATGCTTAGGGATCCTCTCTGTACCTTTCTTTTGAGTGCAGCAGAGATTGGACAAACTGAAAAGTAGCTTCATAATCCATTTCTTCTAATGGGAAGAGCATTACTCTCTGTTGTACTTAAAACAATGAAGGGAATTGGGTTACTTTCCCTTCTGTGTGAACATTATTAGTGTCCATTATTCCAGTTTCTTTTTTTTGAATATCCAAACAAATGATAAAAGAAAGTGAAACCACCTTGCAAATGTTTAACTTGTTATAGTTTCTGCTTCTGAATCAAGGCAACTTGAGTTTATCAGGCTAGATGTCATGTTGTTCAGCAAATAAATTGTGCTGCATTCCTTACTACTTTGTTTGTCTTTGTGACAGGGATCCCCAGATGTCTGAACTTTGACATTTTTTTAAACTTAGGGTCATGTTCTCTTCTTAGTGCAGATTTCTTCACAATACTTCTGCTAATATTAATGGGATACATAAATCCTTTTTGTAGATACAGAGGAAGGGACCCCAAATGTTTTGGTCTTTTCATCTGTGTACTGAGACCGTCATCAGATGAGAAGGAAAAAAAGAGTACCAGTTTATAGCAGAGGAATTCCCCCAACACACACCTCCCCTGTGGGAAAAGAGGAGCATGTGCATACAGGAAAAGTCTGGCAAGTTTGGTGTGAGTTGGGATTTAAACTTCCTCCAAACTCTGAAGTTCAGAAATCCAGCATTTGGGTCTAACTCACCACTATTTTGTGAACTGTCAGAGTCAAAGTTGCAGCTGAGGGTAAAAATCCTTCCTGCTTAACTCTGGAAACCTGAAAGTCAGGATTTTAGATTTTTCTCTAGAACAAGATAAATGAGCCCTTCCAGAGTGTGAATTATTCCCCTCTTTTGATAGTCCTGTTATGATAGGACAGATTCCTCTTTATAGGTGCCTGTCTCTATCCACTGGTTAGCAAGGGTACCTGGCTAAATGCAGACTTTACAGATGGCTAAATAAGTGAGTTGAACACTATCCAATATTGCCACACTTGGGTGTGTTAAAAAAAATGATCGCCAGTCTTCTTCATTTCTAATTTGAGCTTTCCAGTTGGGTTTTCCCTGAGCTGATATTGATTGATTGATATGGACCTTTAACTCAGACAGTGATCAGGCTTAACACAGCATAAGTGTTAATGCAGGGAAATCTTCCCTATTTCCAGAGTGTTTAATTTTTTTTTGTTACCCTTTATTTCCAAATGACTTGGTATCTCAGCTAAATCACTGAAGGGAAGGAGAATATTCTGGGAAGGTATGACAGGAGGCTTGCTTTGGTTTTATACCTTTTCTTGTAGATGAATGCTCTTGACCTCCATTGGAGAGGGAGGACGGGGCTGAGTGGAACATATGCCCCCATATATCTCCGTGTCATTCAGGGAACGTTATGCATGACATGAATGTACATGTACACCTGTCAAGAGTTTGAGTCCCCCAAGTACTATGAGTAATTATTTTCATTCCTTTTCTAATAAATAGGTAAGTGGAAACACAAAATTCTCCTATGACGTGGTAGCAGAACCCACAAACATATGAATCAAGAACCCAGAGCCTCTTGGTTCAGGTCATAGTACAGTTCCTCTTACCTGCACACACATCATTCCTGCTTGAACTCTTTGATAGGGGCAACATAACTGTCTCGCCAGGAGATGGAAAAGAATAGTTCTCTCAAAGAAACCCTATATGGGTTCCTCTGAGCACTATATGGGACTAGACTGCTAGTGAGACTGTTAAGATATTGATGTGAGAGGAGTGCATATCATTGCTATTCTTCCTGCCCAGACAGCAGGAGCGCTGCTTCCACGCTTTCTAGTTGTTTGCAAGTCCCAAGTGTGCAGTGCTGCTACCATGCCAATGAATTGTTCGTTAGTCACTTTATATTGTATATGTAGATATATTACATATATAGTTTATGTATAAATACATGAAAGTATTCAGGTGTACCTACATGCACCCAAAGGAAGCTCTATATTTAGCAGTTTCAATTCAAATGACTTAGTAGTGAAGGCTTGAAGGTAATTGGAATACCCATAGCAGTCCTTCTGTCTTCCCTGTAAAAGGACCGTGCATGTTACATATATCCACTTTGCAAACTTGCTTTTTCCAGACACTTTTAAATAATAGGATCAGAACTGCATTTGTCTTAAAGAAGTGTGGGTGATCTGAGCAGTTATTTCTATGATAATGAAAGCATGTTTCAGATATAAGAAAGTTTTCCGCTGATCCTGGTTTCTAACAGTGTTGTCTCTGACAATGTTTTCCTTCTGTGGCCTTGAGTAGATCATAGCAGCCCTGTGCCACTGTTTTCCCATTTCAGCCATTGTGAGTCTTGACTAAGTAACATTTAGAAGCATTTTTGCAAATGAAAGCTAGTTGTAGAAATACATGGGTAGAAAAGCAAACATTGTGATCCTAGACTGGTGTTTTCCAAAGGCATTCTGATGCACTTTCCCTGAAACTTCACTCTGTATCAGTGAGCTTTAAAAAGTAGAGACAATATCTGTAGTATTACATTTAGTTTTTATTCATTAAAGAAAGGTTTGAAATACATTATTCTGTTTAGTCCAGCAAGGATCCCAGAGTTAAGTGATGTGTTATGGGCTGCTTCATGGTGCGAAAGCATAACAGGAGAAAATATTCTCTTTTCCAGGTTTTGCATTGTGACCTGACATTTATGTATATTGCATAAAGCAAATTCTGAGTACTACAGCTCCGCTGACTTGGGACTGACAAACATTTTTTGTCCTTTTTACTTGCTTTTTGTCATTTTCTGAGAAGTTAAACATATTGTACTATGCAGCTCTTTCCAGAGAGCACAGAAAGGCTTGGTCATGGACTTAGGTGAGGCTGCACTATAACTTTTGTTCATGTCCAGCTTTTCAGTAAAAAAATAATGTGTACCTGAGTTCAACTAAAATGGTTGTGTCTGCCTGATCATATCCTCTACAGAGCCAAATAATCTAAAGTATGCATGGTTTGATAGACTAAGCATCCAACAAAAGCTCCCATAAAATGAGTCATATCTTGCTTCAAGAGTCACATTAGTTGAAATTAATCAGTCTTCCTCTTACTGGCACTGGAAATTTAAGAAGAAAAGCAAAAGAATTGCTGCAACATAACAATGCCATCCATTGTAAGGCAGTGCCAGCCAGGGATACCAGGCAGCAACCAGCCAGGCCAAATCAGCATTTATTTATTAATTCCAGGAATGTCTCAAATATTTGAGGGCAGTATCCGGACAGAGCAGTGATAGCAGAGTGTTCTGGCGTTACAGTTTGTCAAGGCGTTATGGATCTCCTGTTGGGAAGTGTTCACACTGGGGCACTCATTTCATTAGACTTGAAATAATTGTCCTTCACGCTGTTCTAGCACGAGTGGCAAAAAACCTTCATGGACAAATAAAGGAAGCAGCACTTCTTCCAGCATCCCTTCTGGAGGCCAACTTCATTTTTCCTTTTTCTCTTTTTGAAACTTAGTTTTATATCAAGCAAGGGGTCAGAATTCAAGCATGATAGTTCAGATGTGCTCACCTAAAAAGTATGTATTGTACTCACTATGTCCTTGATCATTTTTAGGCATAAAAGGAATCCATCTTTATTTTTCCTTACTCCCTTGCTGTCCTAGTGCTGTCTTCTCTGCATTTGATTTACAGATTTATTAGATCTTTTGCACTGAGTGGAGGTACCTATTCTTTCAAGTGTTGCTCTCCCTTCATTGCCTCTTCTTAACTGAAAGTTATTTTCCCATGACAGGTCAAGCTCTCATTTCCTTGATCTCTCTCTTATCTATTTTTTCCTTCTGTTTTCACAATTTGAAGAAGTTCTTGCCTTTTGGATTGAATGTAGACATAACCCAGTGAAATTCTGCAGCTTACATTACTAAGGAAGTAAAACCGTGCTACTTGGGTCGACTGTTTGAGCCATAAATCTATTGATTTATTCATTTCAATTCCATGGATAAGTGTTTCCTTCTGAACTCTTGAGTTGCATCCAGTCTTTTGCATGAGCAATAGTTTAGATTTCTTTGTACAAGCAAGATGCATACACATCAGTCGGTCCCAACCTTGCAACATAAATTCACACAGAAAAAAAGAACTTCAATCTAAAGAACAGTAAAATGCAAGGAAGAAAACCCAAGCCTGAAATAGTTTTCAATTCTATTTTATAGACTATCATTCTGCACTCGTAGTACTTGAGCATGTCACAGAAGTTCATTAACCAATGCAGCTAATATCTGACATAAATATATGGACTTGTTTGGCTTTTACTTTTTCTCATCCAACAATAGAATACAGTACCCAACTTACATTCTGCATTTCCATCACCATGCCTTTTCCAATTCTGTTACTACTCCATCCTGCTTAACTCATTTCTCTCAGTTGCTTTCCCTAATTTGCAACAATAGGTCTAGCAGTGTTTCCTAGAGACATGGTTCTCAATTTCTTTAAAGCAACCCTACTGCTCACATATAACTAATATTGTTCTTGTCCACTTCTCATTTATTCAGACCTGGTGTTAGGCCAGACCTGCTGTTCTTTCAGAAGCAAACGAGTGATGCTCAGTGTAGCCCACTTGGCTGCTGAAAATTTGCCTCCTTAATTTTTCTCCACCAAAGACTGATGGAATTCATGGAGTTCCTGGTTTTACATTCTGTTCCAAACATTGGTTAAGGATCACTGTTTCCCACTTAACGCTAGCCTAGTCTTCTTTGCTGTACTTCTCCCTTTCAACAATAAAGTGCAAAACAAGGTTAAGGTTAACTGCTTACCCAACAGCAGTCTGCATTGCCAAGCAAGATACCCAAGATAAACACAGTTTCTTTCAAGTTCACAAACTTAACTTGAGATCGTAGCAATGAAGGTATACTGGGATCAGAGAAGGCAGGTAAATGCAGGGTGGCTGTAGAGCTACCCAAAAATGGTGATTACAGTCTGACGTGGAAAATAGTCCCAGGGAAAATAGTTAAAAATGAGAGCAACTGTAGCTTAATATTTTGGGAGTGATGAGGAAACAATTCTTCATTAGTAGACTGTAGCCTCAATAAAATGTAGAGATTCTTTCTGAATTTATGCTTAGGTCTCGACAGGCTGTCTTCTTCCCTGTTTTTTAATGTATTAACCATATCGTTACATCTTCAATCAATAAAAGTAAGTGTTTTATATATATATGTATACTCATGCACATATATATCACTCCAGTAAATAGCTGTGGAAAGGAGGAAAAACAGTTATGAAAGTAAGCATTCTGAACAAAAAACAAGCTTAGTGTATAACTAAAGGAAACTTTGAAGAAACAGACCTTCATGAAGGAATAACATTGTTGAAACCATATGTTTTCCATGTACCAGGAGACTGTTTTAATAGTTTATGAATATATTTAACCACAAAAAATCTAAAATTAGTCAGTCTTTTAAAGGGCTAAAGATTGACACAAGTCATTCCAGTTAATGAAGGATTTCTTTTCATCCACATCCAGTGAATAAACTTATGTGACTGAGCAGGAGGAGATGTTTGAGGGGGACTGGTGTGTCTGTGACTGCTGATTAGAGTTGTATGAAACTCCGCTAATTTGAAACTACTAATTTGTAATATTCATTTTCTTCAGATGTTGTGTCTAGTGAGAAGTATGGTGGCCTAGACCACAAGTAACTCAAGTTCTTCCCTGCTCTGCTGCTGCTATGCTAAATGCTCTTGAACGAGGCATTCCTCCTCACTGTACTAGTTTTGCCCTCATAAAATAGGAAATCCCTTTGTAAACTACTCTGAGGACTGCTGATGAAAGGTGCTGGCTTGAGCTTAGCCAGTCTTTTCTCCTAAAGTCTGCTTGAGTTTGGTAGCCCAAAGAAAACCTCAGGTGAGTCTTCAGTGCCTTCAGGGTTGGTGCTGAAATTGAACAAAACCTTGTATACAGCATGTTTTCACTTTAACAGCTCCAGGGTTAGTCTGAGCTGGGCCCCCCATCGTTAACAGGGCTTGCGAACCTCAGGAAATCCTTCATCATCTGATCTTTATTATGAATTGGCAATGAAATCAACATCTTCTGTTGAGCAGCAAAGGTTTTATGAGTCTGTGCAACACTGTCTCCACAAAAGCTCAGCTCTCTTTCGGCAGTTCTCAAATGCCAGCTCTGCTCTGTTGCACACCCTGTTCATTCTCCTCCTCTTCATCCTTAGATGAACTTCATCCCAGATGGCTTCAGCCTTAATTGATTCTGTACTATGTATGGCCATAAGTGAGGCATGTGTAATGATGTCACCCTGTTCTGTGATGTCACAGGCCTCTGCTGAACATGACCTGGGTTCCTGCCTCCACAATACGGTGTTCTCAAATGCGACATAGGTTTGCCCTTTTAATCCAAGTGGGCATCTTCCTCATCATGACAGCTCTTTTCGTTATGATTTGAGCTACTTACAGAGAAAACTAAGTCCCAGAGCTACCTGTCAATGTCAGTCAATGAATAGTGCTTGAGCAAGCTTTCCTGCTAGTTCTGTAGTGGCTCTGTGCTTGCTTGACAGGTTTTCATCACAATGGCTCTTCTACTGGGCTTCTAGTCTGTAAGGAACTCATCTTTATTCTATGCAGTCCTTGGTAGAAGCAAGCTTAAGAAAAAAGATGTACATAGAAGAAGGGAGGAAAGTGGGTTTGGTCCTCTGTAGGCAGGTCTAGAGCTTTATCAGAAATCCGGACAGGATTTCCTTTTTTCTCCCTCATGATGACAATACAGTAATGCAAAGAAACTTGCAAGAAAAAAAAAGTTTACTAGATTTTCTGCGTTACTAGAAATCCCATCCAGATCTTTTATTTTAAAAAATGGTCAAAATGTGCATAAGAAAAGGAGCTATATTAGCTCCTTTAATAAAGTATTCCTTTCACTCTGTCAAAAATGGTCACATGGTAAACACTGAACAAAAAAATTTGAAATGTTAAAGAAATAAAACTCTTCAGGGAATAAATTATTTTTACAACTGGCCAATATAAAATAATACAGTACAAGTCTCTTAAAGTAGTAATTGATAAAGGAATAAAACTGCTAAAAGAGTATATTTTTCATTCGCTGGAGCTAACTGTATAATAGCACTCAGCTGTATTTAATCTCTAGGGGCTACAGAACAGGCACAAAAATGAACGTAACTTAAAATCGACGAGTGATCTTTCATGAGATCTGTGATACCTGCTGCCTGCTGGCAACAGCCATGTTATGCAGCAAGCCTACTTTCTCAACCCTACAGTTCTTGACCATTCTGAGCCTTTTTTTATCTGGATGTTAAGTAGATAATTCCCAAAGTTTCCCTATTAAGTGGAAAAGAATGACCCTTCCAACCTAACACCCGGGGAAACTGAGACACAGGGAGGATAAAGTCTTTGCCTGGGGTCAGACCAGTTTGTTCTACCATGTAATATGGCTGTAATGGGCCTCAGTCCTTCTACAGAATGCTGGATGAAAACATGCTAGGAAAAAAAATGTAGATTTTGGGTTCACCAGATACTGTGAAACAGGATTACAACTGTGTTGGACCCAGGTCCTTCAGCTTCATACAGTGCATACATGAATCTCAGTATGGAAACCAAGTATCAGTTTTATATTAGTGTCTGTTTAATTAAAGAACTCTCCCATTATATTTTAGAGCTATGTGAGTGCACTTCAAAGGCTGACCTCACATGAGGGCAAAAACAGAGTACCCCAAGAGGGAGAAAATTCTTCCACTATGTGGCTATAATGTGATTCTTATTTGACTTCGAAACAGATCTGTCCCAGAACTTTCTTAAACTTTCACTGAGGAAAAGAAGATAAATTTTTCATTAGATAGATACATGCAGAGAGATTCTTGGTTGAGAAAAATAGAAAGAGAGTGGAGACTTGGAAGAATGCATACAGATGGCATTGCATTTATCCTTCTTATGTCTTGGTGGGTCTTTGAGAGACCAAGTGATTTCTAGCTTGTGCAGGCTTCACCCAGTGGTGTTCTCTCCCCAGTGTCTCTTCCTTGTTTTTCCATTCACTGCTCAGACTGTCTGTCCCTGCAGAACTAGTTTATTCTTCCTGAGATCAGTCACACTGAAGCAACTGCATGGAATTAGGCATTTTAACTGTGTCTGTCAAATGGTTTTTGGTTTGCTGGTGTTTCTCTCATTGCCTGTGAACTCATTCTTCATTAATTTAATCAGAAGTAAAACCAGGGGCTTTTATATGAATAGTCTTAAATTTGGGGTATACTTTAAAATGTAATCGTTCTTTATATTAAAATTACTAGGGCAAAACTAGTACAGTGAATGAAACTACCTTCTTTTCATAGAATTTCCTTATAAAGCTATTGACCCAATTGTATTAAATTTTAACAACATTTGAAATGTAGAAATGTATCTGCATTTTACAGCATTTCTGCTGTTAATGGCCCCTAAAAAGGAAATAACTGGCTTCTTATTTTCTTGCACTGTTTACCTTGTTTAGTTCTAGAGGAGAATATGCAAGAAACTTTGATGAGTGGGTAAATATAGTAAAGATAAATGTGCCTTTGTAAAGTTCTGCCCTGTGCATACCCTGCACCCTTACATCATGTACTCACCTGGTCTGGTCTGTTCATTGTAAACAGACTGCATCAATTCAGAAATAGTAGCATGCTCTTACTAATAAAACAGAATTTTTTTCCTTTTATAATCCACAGTATCAGTTATAAATTTCTCTCACTAATTATTTTAGGATAGAAACTGTTATACTTTGAGATCTGGTGGGATGAAATTTAAAAAAAAAAGGCAGCTAGAAAAAAGATTCAGTCTTTTTCTTAATGGAGTTTTAAGCATATAGAAAAAAGTGAGCAAAGAGAGAATGAGAATAAATTGCAGTATTCTTAACATACCAAATAATATATTTTGTTTCTGCCTCACTTCAAAATGACCCAAATCAATGTTGTTTAAACTTGGCTTATTTTGTAGATACCCTTGAGAGTCTGCTAATAAATCAAATGCCAAACAAGTTAGTTCAGTAGTTTCAAAGTGATATACACATAACACATGTAGACAGAATATCACTTGTGCCTGAACCTCACTATTTTTCTTAGTTGAGATCTGTCTCCATTCTCATGGAAACCAACCACTGATTGACAGTAATGCTGTGAACTTCCACTTATTAGCTAATGATGACTTTTCATGAAAATAGGAGCTGAGTGTAGCATTATGGAATATTCATGGAACAAAATTCCAGAGAGAGAGGTCTCAGGGTCAGGAGGAGGGAGGGAATGAGAGACAGATGCCAGATTGCCTGTAGAGAGTCCAAGCATGTGTTTTTGTTTGTAGCAATGATGCACATGCCTTTTGTGGGTGCAATTATTGCTTCTGCCTTTGAAAGTTTTACCATAAATCTGTTTCTCAATCTCCCTTCGTTTTTGACCCAAATTAACCTCTTCTCCATACAGTTCTGTTACTTAACCTCAGTTTCTCCTGGGAATATCTGTGCACCACTACGCTGTAGGTGTTTTCTCCTGAATTTTAGAGATCACTCTCAAATATGTTTCTGATCAGATTTAATTCGTTAGTATTTCTGTCTTTTCATGATCTTCATGCACTGGATTTTATACTTCACTGAGTCATTGCAATGAACAACACCACATGAGTAAAAAAAAAAAATTGCCCTTTATTTTTGGTCTCTGCCTACCATCCAGCTTCAGGAAAAGGCATGCGATCTGTAAGCAGATGAAAACTGAGACCTAAAGTATTTGAATATCCATTTAACATATCATGACACTTTCCTTTTAATCTATCAAATGCCTAAAAATCTGAGATCTCTTCTAGCAATAGCTTGTCTTATTTGAGTGACACTTCAGGTCTAATGAAGCTGACTGCAGGTGACTCACAGCTAACTATGCAACAGATGTGGGGTGAAAGCTTTTAGCAGCCATGCACCTCCAAGTGGGAATTCCCAGCCTGTAGTATCTGTGACATTGATACTGCGCTATTTTCCCCTGTCAGACTCAGCCTTTATTGTGGACCTGACAGGTTCAAAGTCACATAAGCTACATCTTGTCATAGAGTGTTTCAGAGAAGAGGCATTTAATAGTGTATTAGCATTTGTTAGTTTTATTTAGGAAATGGACAAAAAATGCATCTCAGTGTTCTTGTACTCTTGAGGAGCTTTGAACCTTCTGTGAATTTTCTAACCTGGTATGCCAGCAAGTGTGCTTGAGCTTACTAGGTGAAGAGATTGCAGTTAAATTCAGCTGCCAGACATGCGATATCTGACTGAATAGAATATGCACTGGTTTTAAATGTTGTCTAAGTAGTCATGAATAGCTAAGTATCAGAATACAGATTAATATCATACTACGTACACAGTCAGGAACCTTCTGTCCCCTTGTCTTCTGGAAAGAGAAGCTCTTTGATAGCTTAGGAGATTGTTTTGGGGAGATACAGCATGCTGCCTGTGAGATTCCCCAAATGCTTGAGGTGCTTCGCCTGTGGTACATCTGGGACTGATGCTGGGAAAGTAAGAGCCGTGGAATAGCTCACTAATATGAGCCTTGTAATGCTGGGCAAGTCAAGGAGGGTCAGATGGGTTAGCAGAGTTTCGTGGTTTCTGGTGTGCTGCCCACAGTGGTTTGAAGTAACTGCCGTTTTCATCAGTTCTGTCACAGCTGAGTGGAAGACTTCATCCCACGTGGGATGCAACCACCTAAACAGGGTCAGTCACTTGGGATAGCTGTTGAATATGGATTCCCACTGTCCTAAAGGGACTGTGAGCTTAGTGGGTTCCAGCCTAGAGCTCTCTGCAACCATATTTATCAAGAAACCTATTCTTTTGAGCCAGAGGTGTATATCTAGGCCCTCAAAATAGAAGTAATTTAAATGCATATATATGTATTTTTATTTTATTTTATATAGGGCAGAGTTGCCTGAAGCCTGTTTATTAGTTAATAACCCCCTCCAGGTTACCATCTCTAATCTTGTAATGAAATTGAGTTAATAAATCCAAGATATTATTAAATAAAGTAAGTATTTAATATTGCTTGTCCTCTTTGAATCCAAGTTGCAATACAACAGAATTTCATTTTATAAATAACACCTTTCGTGCTAGCACCACAGGGCATGATTCAAAAGAATCTAAATAGAACGTGAATGCTGTAATCAAATGCAGACCCCAGGAAGGCAGATTAAAAAGGCATGTTGCTGGTTAGCACAGCAGACAGGGTAAGTATAGCAGGTCACAGCAGAAAAGCTAGTTACAAAAACAAGAGCACAATCAAATGAAAATTGTTTGCTTGCCCACTCCAAACCATGACTGACTGCTTCTGTGTCCGTGACCTATTTTTTTTTAAATGAAGGAAGATTTTGAGCGGCTTTTACATTTTAATTGCTTTGTACTAAACAAGAAAACAACGAAAATCTCAACTCTGTGTTTGCATCTGGAGGACACCAGGAGCATCTGTATTTATAGGTGGAGACACTACATCTGGGGAAGACTTTTCCACTAGGTTTAATTCATCTCTTTTTGTTTATCTCATCTGTTTGCACCCACTGCCAAAGGCTGTGCATCTCCTCCCATAGAGAGGAACATATAGCAGAGGGAAAGGCTGCAGGGAACTGCAATGAAGCTTGCCTTGCAGAGGAGGGGAATACTTGCATCCTGCAAGTGTTCAGTGGTGAGGCAGAACTGGCAGGAGCAAAGGAAACTAGTCTCTGAATCCTGTGAAGCCTGGGATCCAGAGGCAGCCCTGTCACGGTATGACTCCCGTTTCAGTGCTGCCTGGCCACTGGCACGTGCCTGGCTCCCCTGTCCACACCGTCTCGCAGTCTTTCCTCCTTGAGGGTGTCACAAAGGTGGAGCAGAGGTTAATGGAGCAAAAAGCAGAATTAACCTCCATGTCCTTATCTGCAGCTGCTCCCAAGGTCTGGTCACAGCATGGCCTGTCTCTAAGCGCAGAGGTTTAGTTGCATGGACAGATGCACAGAGGGGAGGAGAGAAAAGTCAGGGTCTCCAAGCACTCTC